AGGGGGGGGGGGGGGAACAATTTGCGCTAATTCTAAATTAATTATTGTGGACGTCACAACGTGATAGATTAATTTTTCTTAATAATTTCTAAATGGTGAAAGATAGATTTTATCCAATTCACTTTTTTTTTTGATCACAATAAATAAAACCAATAAAGTCTGAATAATAGTAAGTAGTGTGTATATAGAGATTCGCCCTCAACTGAATATAAATTTCTTATTTGTTCTTATATTTCATTTACTATAAAAATTATTGCAATGAACACTGAATACTGAATTAACTAAACCATAATGGTCCAGTACACGATCAAACATAGACGAAATTTTACGAGTCCTGTAAAATCTCATACAATTCCCTTTTCTTCGTTGATAAAGATTAATTCTCAACCAATTTGATTTGCTTATTCATTGCATTCAGCGCTTTAGTGCATGATTTGCATAAATTTCTTACCCTAATCCCATAAGTATACTTTAATTGTCTCTGTACAAACGTGGCTTACCTTACCTTAGGTAATAAAAAAAAAAAAAAATCTTTTTTTTCTTTCAATTTCTTTCTTAAAATTGTTTTAAATTTGATAATAGCCAAGTTCAACTCAGTCATATTAAAAAAAAAATATATATATACACATATGTTGTGATCGCCTTAAGGGCAATTAATCTTTGATACCGTCCAACCAACATCGCAAATCAATACAGAGAAATTGTACAGCATATAAAGGTTAATTACGCGACATATCATAAAGGAAATTGTAATTTTTTCCTTGAAAGGTTCCTTGAAAAGTTTTACATTGCTAACAAGAACAACAACATTACCAATCAATCTTATGTATATAAATTTATCTTATCGATAGCAAGATCAACGTGTTAACTACGTTGCATCCAGGATTAGGATACTTTTTGTACTGAATTTTAAGTATAATTCATGTAAATAAATTGTATCATGTTTCGAGACTAATTGTCTTCTATAAATTGTAAAGTATAGCTTTTTCTTATGATAATCGTGCTTGTGGGCGAATCAAATCTCATCTATTTTTACCTATGATCTCTCGCCAGCAATAAAAGTATAACAGAGACGTGCAGATTTAAGCCGAATAAAAAGCTTACAACGGACTATAATGGGTACAAACATTGTAAGCTCTATGGACTATATTTCTACGTATCTTCCTTCAATGGGTAAGGCAAACGTATTTAATTATTATTCCACCCATTACCGTTCAATTAGAACAAAAAAATCAAAGGTAAATACAAAACGAATTATGCAAAAACGAATTATGCAAAATATGTGAGCCACCGTCGCTTATCCTTCGTCATTTTGTCATGATAACATTCTTGCAATTGACATTAATTTTTCGCATGAGAATTTTTTAAAGTAAACCAAGTTAAGTTTAAAAAGAAATGCCTTCCTTTGTTTTTTTTTTTTTTTTTTTTTTTTGTCATTTGACTTTTGGTTATTTAAAGCTTTAGGATCATGGTTTATAAATGGCGTTAAAAGAAATATCGAGCAACGAACAACAAACAGATATAAGTAAAAATCCTAGAGTGGGCCACAGTTCACATTTTCATTACCCTAGGCTACCTTATATTTATTTATATAACGATTGCTTAAAAAATGAGACTTCATATGGGAAACGGTCGAAAAAGTGGTGTTTCAATAGCGCCCGTCTATGGGCCCAAAACACTTTAAAACGTGCCAAAATTCATTAAAATATTTCAAGGAAGCAAGACGAGAAGAGTGACCAGCTTAAATCGATTCAGAAATTCATTCTGAATGGATCGATGCAAAACAAAATCTGGGTGTATCTCAAATCCGAAGTCCTTCGGAGTGTTGCAAACATTCGCATAATATTAATATGCCTTTGCAGGCATCAATGATGTGGGGCATATACTAAGGACTTGAGCTGACGAGCACTGTGTATCTTGACCCAGAAAAGAAAAACGAATAAACAAATTCAAATCGAAATCGGCATAATGGAAAATTAATGTTATTCAACGCCATCTGGATGTTGCATAAATTCGCACCAACTTAATATACCCTTAGTGCGATAAGTAATGTAAGTGTAATTTTAATGCACCATATTACATAGCAAGACTTCCTGACTATGTACAAAAAATGACAATGCAAAAAAAAAAAAAAAAAAAAAAAACAAATAAGAAAATTAAATTCGATCGAAACCGAATCTTTTATACCCATCGCCCTTATCCTAAAAAAGACAAAACAAGTGAAAGAACAACATTTTCATATTCTATAATATAACCAAGTATTTGCATAC